AAAAAAAAAAAAAAAGACGATGGTGAATAAAAATCAAAACGATGATAATGTGCTTAGGGTGTCATCCTGGCGAGGCTGATTAGGTATTTCTTTCCTCGCACTTCTTCAGGAGAATCAGCCACAGAGAAATCAAGAGTCATGTCTGCTTTCTAATTTTTTTTTTTTTTTTGCTGTTACTTTCGAATTCTGAGCGAAGCGTTGCATCCACTAGAGTGTGTGTCTGTGTTCGTGCAAGTGGTCCCGATGTAGTAGTGCCCAAGATCTTCCCCCTCAATGAAACATTATCTAATTAAGCCTTTGAAAACTACTGAAGCAGGTGAACTGTAAACAGTGTCCGCCTTCCAAGGAAAATGATGTTTGGCTAAAACTGGGTTTGGTTAAAGCTGTCAAGCCTATAATGTGTTTACTGACTTCTCAGTCAAGATCTAAAACTAAGGATTTAGGATTCCACTTGTTTAAATGGCACCTTATAAAATTGGTTAAAATGAATTACAGGTTGTCTCAGGATTATTAGTAACAACATTATTTAATATCATAAAGATGTGCATTTGGATTGATTTCTATTTAAAAGAAAAACGTTCATACTTCTCAATTTTTAATTATATTTATACGCACATTTGTAAACAAAATTTTGAAAAGTTAACAGAAAAGATGTACTTCGTCATTATTGCAGACTCGGGGATATAGGCTTATTGGATTTTTCAGGCTATTTTAAAGTCTACATTGTAGTTATAAAATAAGTGTCACACTTGTCTTGTGCCACCCCACTCCCCAAATAAATAGTTATTCTTCATACTTTCCTAGCCTAATCCTCTACCTAAATGAGATCAGCCACTCTTAAGGTCAAGAGGGAATTCTTACAGATGACAGAAAGGAGTACTATAGACAGATGGCTTAACATTAAACTATTTGGTTTTATCTGTTTAAGAACTGACTATGAACCTCCCATAGGATGTTACCATCATCACTTTCAAAAGAAAACAAAACATTTCCGATGAAACTGGATGAGCCTGTTCTCATAGTTGCCAAAATGGAATAAAGGGAATCTGTCACATGTAAGCCAAACATAGCTCTCTTTTATCATGGGTCATTTCTGGCACCAGCACTTTTGACCCCATAGGGAAGGCAACCCTATAAAAGTGATTTCCTCAGCTTCTTAGTTCACCATATTATACTAAAATTACCTTCTGGTTTCAGAATTGTTGTTCATGTAACTGTTCTTCTGGAAATGTGGAGGTCATCCAAAGTCCCAGGGGGTTCAGAACAGAATTTTTTTTTTCTGTTTTTACCCTCATTCTTGGAAATCTTTGCTTAGATTTTTCATCTCTCTGATCAGTAGAGCACGAAATGTAGACCAACTATTCTCATAAAACTTGTGTCACAATTAATCCTGCTTCTTGAGTTGATTCATCATGGCTGGTTAACCAACAGTTCAGCTCTGAAGCAATTATTTGTAATGTTGAGATTCAGGAAAATAATTACAATAAAAGCAGACAAGACAAACCAGATATGTCCTGTGAAAAGTATATCACTTTCTAAATATGGCCGCCAAAGGGAGAATGATTTTTTTCAACTCATTATTATAGTAAGTGTATATAGGACTTAAGATTTTTCTGTGGAAATACGAATGAGGAACATAATAATAAACCTATTTTATGTGGGAACTGAGAATACTAATTTGTTTAAGTCCCTTCACAATCGTTATTCACATTCTCCAACTATTAACCTTCTCTCACTAGCCTTCCTTAAATGAGGGACACTTGTCTAGATTACCAATAATGACAACACTTTAACAAATAGCCAGGTGAAATCTTCAATAGGTCCAGTCTTTTTTATTTTATTTTATTTTTCAGTACCAGGGATTGAACTCTGGTCCTTGCACTTGCAAGGCAGGCCACTGAACCGCTGAGCTAAATCCCCGGCCCAGGTCCAGTCTTTTTAACTAAGCAAATGTTCAACACATTAAGAAAAATAATATATTAAATTGCTTGTTCATTTATTCAACAGATACTTATTTATAGTGTCAAACACAACTCTGGACTCTTGTGTAGAGAGCAGTAGAGAAAACAGACAAAATTCCTAACCCTGTGGAGCTTACCCTTTACCTGGGAGACAAAAGCCAAACAAGATAAGCAAATATAATCTATGGTACATTAGAGAACAGCGCTAAGGAGAGATTATAAAGCTGCAGGTGGGGCATGTGTTGATGCTCAGTTGCACGGGACAAGGAGTGTTAAAATTCTATATTAGGTGCCAAGGTGAGGCTCCCTGGACAGTCTTTCAGTACCTAACTAAAAGAAGCAAGGGAATGATCCTGGTGGACAGGAGAAGAGGATTCCAGACTGAAGAACAGAAAGCAGAGGTTTGCCTGGCATCCTCCAAGGACAGCAAAGACTGTACATCCACATGGGGTGTGGGGTCAAGATATAGGGAGGAAGGATAATAGGGTGAGAGCGTGGAGGGGCTTGGAGATCCTATTCTCATTTTGATTTTGGGTGAAATGAGAAAAACTATCATTTAGATTAACCTGTCAAGCTTTTATTTTTGACAGATACTTATTGAGCATGCTATGAACTTTATTATTCTGAGCACTGTGGATAAGAGAGGTTAATCAAACATACACAGTCTCTATCATAAAAACTACTATCATAAAAACTGCATCCCATGGTGGGGAGATGAACACAGAACTAAATAAAAAAAATTAACAATTCTGTAACTTTCAGTGTTATTAAAGAAAACACATGCTAAATGATAAAATAATACAAGAGGCCTGGAAGGGACTGTGTGTGATTCAGTGGTCAGAAAAAGCCATGGGCACTGTTTTCAATTTAATTTTAATTTTACTGACACATAACAACTGTACATATGTATGGAGTACAATGTGATGCTTCAGTACACATATGAGGTTGGCCCTCTCTCTTGTTGGGTTCAACCACGGATAGAAATATTTGAAAAAAATTACATCTGTATTGAAAATGTGCAAGCCTTTTCTCTCATCATAATTTCCTAAACAATACAGCATAACAACCACCTCCATGGCATTTATATTGTATTGGTATTATCAATGAGCTGCAGATGATTTTAAGTATACAGGAGGATGTGTGCAGGTTGTGCCAATATAAGGGACCTGAGCATCTGTAGATTTGGTTATACTTTGGTATCCTGCAACTAATCTTCTGCTGACTATACGTTGTGTAATCAGGATATTTAGAATATTTACCACCTCAAATATTCATTATTTTTTGTGATGAAAGCATTTGATACCTAAGGAAGTAATGTTTTATTTTAAAAATATCTTTGGCTTCGTTTCTACAAGAGTAGAAAGACTAGAGAGGAGGCTGTTCCCACACACCAGAGATTGGAGTGGCATAGATTAAATTTGGGACAGCGGTCATGGGGAGAAGTAGATTCACTGAGAAAACCTTAGAAAGCAGAGTTGGTAGGTCTTGCTAATAAACTGGACAAAGGTGGAAATGACGGAATGAAAGAGTGAAAATGATCACCAGGATGCATATTGATGATCCTGGGCAGATGTGAAGCCATTTACTAAGATGGATATAGCTAAGACAAAAAGTTTTAAAAAGGAAGTAAGGGGGCTGCCAACTTCGGAAAAAGTCATCCCAATTTACTGTGTTGACTTGGCATTGTACAGAAATGGACAACCATATTGGTCTAGAAATGTTAATTTATTTTTTTTTCCATGTGTACAGGGGTAACACATCGCACTAAATATGTAAGGTCATATCTATGTGGGTTTGATTACAGAAACTAATAAAGTATTCTCTAAATAATGAAAAAAAGCATAAGATAAGACTATAAGAGCGAGAAGCAATTTAAATATGTTCAGGGACCATTTTCATCTCCAGAATTAAGGATTATTTTGATGCTACATCATTGCCTTTTCTCTTTTACTTTCCTTTTTAGTTTTATTTTAGGATTCCCTACTTTTAATGTTCATACAGAGATTTCTTTAACTGAAATACCGAATAGTTTCTTTGGTGTGAAAAACTATAATAGTACACAGGATCCTAATGAGATAATTAATAATGTGAAATAGGAAGTAAAGGGCTAAAGGTGTAGGGAAAGTGGGAAGGGTGGGGGAAAGGTAATAAGGGAGAGGAAAAAAATATGAGAAACTGAAAAAATGGAAATAAAGTGTTTGTAAATGGGGAGGGGAGGAGGGGGTGAAGGGAGGGCAGGGACAAGGGGAAAAATGAGAATCAAGACCTATTATGTAAAGGTACAGAATCCCAGTGATGAATGTAATTGTATTGTATACCTAGATTGTACCAATAACCTCAATAAAAAGACAAAGAAAAAGGAAGTAAAGAATCTGTTTCTAGACACATTAGGTATTTATAGATATCCAATAGAAATATTCAATTGAAGTTTTGAATATATGAATCTGGAGCACTTAGAAGTCACAGCTGAAATTTGAAATTTGGGGGTCAAGTTCTTATGGGTGCTATTCAGAGCCTTGGTCTTGAGGAGGATTACCTAGAAAGATATTCAAGAAAGAAATAGAGGCCTGAGAATCATGTGCTTGCTTATCCTAATGCTCCAGGATCTTGTGTAGTACATACAAAGAGTCAGTAAAAAGCCAATAAAGTGGGAGATAAATTATCAGGGGACACTATAATCATGAACTCTAGCCAGGAAGTTTTTCAAAAATGGTCAGTGGTGTCAGATGTTGCTAAAATAGAGAATGGCAGGAGGACAAGGATGTGGTCATTTCCCATGACCGTCTGGAAT